TCCTCCCCCAACAACACCGCTCCCCGACCGGAGTCATCGCCGTCGTCACCCCCCTCTCGATTTCTCCCCCGCGAACACCATCCAGAAGGATCTTGCTCTTGCCCCATCAGCCATGAGCAATCCTGTCCAGCCGACCGCCGCCCGATCCCAGCTGACCGCACACCGGCACGGCCCTCCCTACTACACCAATGGACACCTGCTCTCGGTGACGGCACCCGCCACCGTTAACGATGCCGACCACCGAGGCCGGCACCCCTGGCATCCGCATTCCCCACTCCACGCCGACTCCTCACCTACCACACCCTCCGGCGCGGGCCGCAGCCTGACCGCGTCGAGAGCGTCGTCCCCGGCCCTCCGCATATCCACCGACGTGGCACCCTCGACGATCCCGACCTCGGATCCGCCCCACCCGACCGCCAGGGCATCCCTCGACGGCGGCCACGCCTCGGCCACCTCGCCCGACGGCAAGCCGACCACCTTGCACCCCGTCGCCCAGACGCCCAGCATCAAGACAGCCCTGGTCCAGAACTTTAGCAGCTCCGCCAGCACCACCAGCAGCGCCGCCCCGAGCCCCGTGATAAGCGCCATGGGCGACATGACGCCGCTGCCTAGCCCGCTCCTGTCCGCCGACTCGCCCGGGCCGTGGAAGAGGCTGGTGGCCGGCACGCCGCCGCGGTCGCGGGCCAGGCTCGGCAGCGTCGGCGAGGACACGGTCCTCCGCACCGCCGCCAACGGCAGCACCCCCGACACGGCCGCCCACCTGTCGGCTACGAGCATACCCAAGCGCAAGGCGTACCCGTCGCTCGACCCCCTGGGCCAGACGCCGCCGGCGCTGGCGACGCGCCAGCATGACCAGGACCAGCAGAACTCGGACCAGCACGGAAGGAACCGCAGCATAAGCGAGTACGTCCCCGAACCTCCCGGCATCCCCAAGCGGCAGGCCACCGTGTCGGGACCGCACGCCAAGAAGTCGGACGCCGCGCAGGGCCAGGAGCTCCGCATCCGTCGCGAGGTCAACCTGGCCGAGTCGCGGGGGATGACGCCCGCTGTGGTCGCGAACCCCCCCACCCCTCCACCCAGCGAATCATCCAAGGACTCGACCGACGGACCCTCCACCGTCACCGCCGCCGCCGCCGCCGCCGCCGCCGCCGCCACCGCCGCCACCACCCGACCCAAGGACGACGACGACGCCGGCCGACGAGACGTCGACGGCAGCAGCACCGAGCTCTTCGAGGCCCGCGGGCGCTACGACGGCAAGAAGCGCCGCTGGAGAGCGCTGCGATGCCTGGGTCAGGGCACCTTCAGCCAGGTCATGCTGGCCACGAGCAAGGTGGAGCCCGACGCGGGCGAGTCGGCCGAGTCGCCGCCCGCGCGCAAGACGCTGGTGGCCGTCAAGATCTGCGAGCACGGCCCGCGCGGGGGCGCCAACGAGGATCGTATCGAGATGAGCCTCAAGCGCGAGCTGGAGATCCTCCAGATCATACACCACCCGTCGCTCGTCGACCTGAAGGCCTGGAGCATAGAGCCGTCCAGGGCCATCCTCGTGCTCAGCTACTCGGCCGGCGGGGACCTGTTCGACGTGGCCACCGGGCACAGGCAGCTGCTCACGCCGCTGCTCCTGCGGAGGGTGTTTTCCGAGATTGTGGGGGCGGTGCAGTACCTCCACGGGCAGATGATAGTCCACCGCGATATCAAGCTTGAGAGTGAGTCTAACCCTCGGGCACGTGCCGATCTGACCTAGCCCTCTCTCCTACACACCTACACCCCATCCTCACGCACACACCTGTACTGACGCGGTCGACCTCTCCCCCCCCCCTTCAGACGTCCTGGTCAACCTGACACCTTCGGAGCTCTCGGATCCGACGACGGACTGGTCGCGGTACCCCAACTCGATCACGACGCTGGCNCTCGGGCACGTGCCGATCTGACCTAGCCCTCTCTCCTACACACCTACACCCCATCCTCACGCACACACCTGTACTGACGCGGTCGACCTCTCCCCTCCCCCTTCAGACGTCCTGGTCAACCTGACACCTTCGGAGCTCTCGGATCCGACGACGGACTGGTCGCGGTACCCCAACTCGATCACGACGCTGGCGGACCTCGGTCTGTCGCGCCGCATCACGCCGGACGAGAAGCTCGAGACGCGGTGCGGGTCTGACGACTACGCGGCCCCCGAGGTCATCATGGGCCAGCCCTACGACGGCCGCGCGACGGACGCCTGGTCGCTGGGCGTGCTGCTCTACGCCCTTCTCGAGTCCCGGCTCCCGTTCGACCCGCACCCGGGCATGTCGGACACGCACCGCATGCGCAGCCGGACGAGCCACCGCATCGCCAGGGTCGAGTGGCGCTGGTGCGAGTACGGCGGGGACGACGGCGACCACGACGGCGACGAGGCGAGGTTCGCCGACAGGGGCCTCACGGGCGCCATGGAGGTGACGGAGGGGCTGCTCAAGAGGGCGAGGAGCCGGTGGCCCCTCACCAAGGTTGCCGAGCAGCCCTGGGTTGCTGGCGGGGTGGCTGTCGAGGGGGGCCTGAAGTTTTGGGAAGAGCAGGAGGGTCAGGTTGTTGCTTGACGTCCTCGCATCCTCCCAGCTCCCTGTCGTGCCTCTCCTCGGCATGCTTCTCTGCTCACCTCTGCTCTCTTCTTCCCTACTTTTCTTCTTCTTCTTCTTCTTCTTCTTCTTCTTCTTCTTCTTCATTCTTTCTCTTTTTTCTTTCTTTCTGCATCCTGTACTTTTACCATATATCGGTCCTCGCATTCGCATCTTATACCTGGCGTACTCTTTTTTTTTTTCTTTTTTTCCCTCCATATATTCTCTCTATTACCCTTCTCCTCTTCACCCTCTCCATGCTCTTCATCCTCATCCTACAATCTCTTCTCTGCTATTTTCTTCCTCTAATCACCTCAAGCCCCAACGCAGCCGTGCATTCACACGAGGTACGAACACGTATCCTAGGACACACCTACACACACAACAAACAGACAGACATACAGACAAAAAGGGTAAGCAAACACGAAAGCCCGAATTGGAAATTAGATTATGCGGGAGTCATGAGTATGGATCTTTCGCGGGTATCGGAGTATGACGAAGGTTTCCTAGCAGGAAGACGGGATATCTGCATTCAGACGTCTGCATCGAATGTACCTTTTTATATATATACAACTTTCTTCCCCCCCCCTTTTTTTTCCCTCTCCTGCTGAATAGATGTAAATTATATCAAGTCTCTGCACTCAGCGTCCAGTCGCTCTCTCATCCTCACCGTTGATATCTGCTCTCCGGCTCTTGATTGCCTCGGCATTGTCTGCCGTACTCGTATTGGAGGATACCGTGATCCCGACACGTACTAGGTCACGAGGTACTACTAGTATTCATCAGCACGGGTACCGATAGCAGTGACACTCGATATCCTGACGAGAAGACGGACGGGACGGCCTGGGGGGACGGGGACGCAACAGCGTTCGGACAGACCTGGCCGGGCGGGAGGAAAGGTAATATATCACTTCGCCGATAAGCCTTGTGAGTACTCGCAAATACGTATCACCTGCTCTGCTAATCTGCCCTCCCCTCCCCCCCTCCTCCTTGCGTCCCCTCCTGCGCGGGTGCGTCCCATCGTGTCTGGCGCTGTTGGTTGGATCGGATCGGATCGGATGATTGGGGACGAGTCTCACACTGCCAGCTTTGGACGTGAAGGGACAATGCCAGCTCCTAGTCTACTGTTACATCCATGATGTATCGATATATATACATGTACGAGTACGAGCACGTCTGGAGTTGATGGGATTGCCGACAAGGGTGAGAAGTGCATTACGAGCTGTGCTGACAGTGTTCTTCATCGTCTCCAAGATGGATTTCAGTTGCAGTCGCAGCTGGATGAAGAACTTGGGGGTATACGGTATACAGGTAGTAGCAATACAGCAGTACTCCGTACAGGGTGGTAGTAGTGAGTAAATGACTGAACTGAGCGGAGTTCCATCAGGAGCGTCCCCTCTACACCTTCTATTCTAGGCGTGGCTGGTACGATATCACCTGCCGTGGCACTCTATGGGGGTGGGGGGGAAGGACTGGGAAGAGATGATGGATACTGATGGTTGGGTGCTGATATAGATAGTATTTTGTCCATCCCCTTGTGCCGAGGTTGAGGTGCGTCCTCGGAAGATGGCGATGGATGGCAAGGAGACGAAGTGGGAGGAGAGAGGGAGTGGATGTAATCATCGATCGAAGAGAGAGGAGAGGAGAGGGGGGGGGGGGGGGGGGGATGCCATGTTGAGGGGAAGATGACGAGAGAGGGGGAAAAGAGAGAAGGAGAAGAAATGACGTTATCTAGCTGGTTTGGAGTGCAATTGCACTTCTCCTACCAATAATATGAGAAACTGGTAGAAGACAGGCCCAACTCCTCTGTTGCGCCTCGATTGGTAGAAGTAGCCAGGAGAGAGAGAGGCTGGAGAGTATTGATAATAACAATAATACCTACAGTAGAGGAGTACCTGTACAGGCTGTACCTACAGTAGAACGCCGTGATGGTGTGACGTGATGGTGGCAGCCCACCGTCTTCTGGTCGGCTTCTCGAAGGAGCAGAGCGGGAGGCAGGGGTGGGACGGGCGTTTGGTGCTGATGCAGAAGTACATATTACAGGTACGAGTAATAGCCTGGACACGTACAGATTGCCTATATGATGCGAAGCAGACCGGGCCACGAGGACGGGACAGGACTGCATCCCACGGCAGCGCAGAGGGTATGATTACGGTGAATATTGGCAGATGTCAATCGATGCTCGCAGATGCTAGGCGCATGTACGGGTTTCGATACTGTACGAGTACCTACCGTATCAGCACTGCCAAGATTGCTGGCGAGGCCGAGAGGGCAGAAGACCACCGTACAGCGTATCGTACAGCGTATCGTACAGCGTATCGTACAGCGCACCCTACAGAGACGGTACAGGCATCATCACAGCGTAGGATGGGGACCGAGATAAGGCGAACCTGGGCGGTTGCCCTTTTGGGGAAGGCGATAGAGAGGAACTTTTGCTCGCGTCAGTCTTGGCGGCCGCTGCATTTACCGGGAAGAGGTACACACAGCTTCTACCATACATCTCACCCGCACTGACAACGTACCCTGCCACCTAAGCATCACCGTACTCTACCTCTCTATAAGGCATGGTTATATAATGGACAATGCGTTTCGACATTGCTGGTGTGTGTGTGTGCGTGCGTGCGTGCGTGCGTGCGTGCGTGCGTGCGTGCGGCCTCTGCTCCCCAGCCTATACCTGCATCATCAGCCTCCCCCCTCCCCCTCGACTCTGCCACCCTGCCCTCCGAGAGGCTGATGAACCTTGGTGAGGCAAGAACGAGGACAGCTCCGAGGGCGTAACGGCCTGCGTGCCCTGTGCCCCCGGGAAGGGGCCGCAGCGGTGTGTACCGCTGTACCTACAGGGCCAGCCACGCTGGCTAGGCAGTGGCATCCGTCGCCTTTTCCCATGTACAGGTTAGTGCCGGTGCTAGCAGTGTGCTAGGCTCCGGTAGTGGTCATGTACGATAATACGCAATAGAGTAATCTGTACTGGCTAGATACTGATACCACCCAAGAATGGGGGCCCTGCTCCACGGATTCCATAGGTAGAGGGCCACGGTGATTACAGCTGTACAGCCCTGTAACCTGGCCTGGACCTCTCCGATCGATGCTTGCTGTACTCAGCGTCTGCTATGGGAACGGTCTCGAGAGAGAAGGGGAAGAAGAAGAAGAAGAAGAGAGCATACAACCATCCCGTACAAGCCGATCTCGGTTGGTCGATACATGTCGCGAAAGAAAATAAGAGAAGAGATGAGAAGAGGAAGAAAGAAGAAGGGAAGGGTAAAAAMAAAAAAAAAAMAAAAAAAAAAAAAAAGGAAGAGGAAGAGAAGAGTACATTCCATCTTGTCCGAGAAGAGAGAGAGAGAGAGAGAAGGGGGCCATGACGATTGACTTTTCCTTCTTTCTTTTCTTCGATGCGCGTGCAGTGCAGTGTTCATGCTATGAATAGATGGACAGGACCCCGATGCCCCCCCTACCGGCGGCCCTCGTCTCTGACCCTCCCCCCCCGACGGACAAGACGAAACACCTTCTCCTCGCCGCAACGTCGTATCCTCCCACCTGCCCCCACCTTTTGGCTCCTTCCCTCCCTCTTCCCCGGCCACTCACGAGTCGCGCCTGTCTCTTGCTGGCTCTTGCTGCAGCGCTGCAGCGCTGCAGCTGCCTCGGGCTGTTCCTTCCCTCTCTCATCATTTCTTAGTCTCTTGTCTCTTAGTCTCTCCTAGTCTCTCCTAGTCAGTCCCTCTCTTCTCTCTCTCTCTCGTCTTTCGCTGCTCACGCTCCTCTGCTCCGTACTACGCTTCCCTCTCTCTCCTTGTTTGGACTCGAGAACTTGTTGCCATCACCCTTCTCTCCCCAATCGTTTCCTGTCACCCAGATCCCTTCCTGCATTCCCCTTCTTTTTCTCTCCTCTCTCCCTCCCTCCCTCTCTATCCTCTCCCTCTCCCTGTCACACACACACACACACACACAGATAACCATTGGGGAAACCTCGTCATCATCTCCTCTCGTTTACTCTGCCTTTCCTCCCACCTAATCTCGGCATACCAGTGTGCGCCTGTCTCGAGTCAGCAACCACTCGTGCGACACACCGGGGTAAAAAAAAAAAAAAAAAAATTAAAATAAGATAAAAAATTGAAAATAACACGCTCACGATCGACGCTTGGCCAACGAGTTCACGATTCTTGGCAATTGACCTGGCCGACAACCTCTCTTTTCTCGTCACGAACGAGGTACGGAGCACAGACGCCCAATCGCCTCATCATCTGCGCACGCGCAACCTCTCGTCTCCGTCCCGACACCCGAACATGGGCGCACTCGCCGCATAATCTGCGAGACTGCCGATACGGAACAGAGGGCACCGGGAAGACACGCCGCCGTGTCTGCTGGGACTCTCCTCACGCCCTGCCCCCATTCACGACCGCCGCCTCTCCCCCACGAGAGTAATGCCGGGGTCGCAACCCGACTGTCGAGTCGCCATACTACCCGCCCGGAGTCGATATACGAGCCCGACCACCGTTACCGCCGCGACCGACGTTGCTTCCTGACTCCCTCGCTCCGAACCTGAGCCCGGCGGGCCCCTCTCTCTGTGTCGCCGTGCTCGGCCACGAGCCTGAGGTCCCGTCCCGCAATGTTTGATCAGCGCCAGTGGGCTGAGCTGAATGCTTTTGCTGCCTCCTTCGGTCTCGGCGCCGGTAACAATGATGACGCCTCCAGCGCCGGCAACGGCCTCAACCCCGACGACGGCAACGACAGTCGCAACGCCCACCCTGGTGCCCAGCCGCCTCATCACCAATTCCAGCATGAGCCCTCGCAACACCATCACCGTCACCACCACCAGCCGCAGCAGGCTCACCACCACCACGGCCACGGTCAGGGCCCTACCGTCGGTACGCTAGTTGTGGGTGATGGACATGATCAGCTGTTTCACCACCAGCAGCACATGCCCCACCACCAACCCGCGCCCGTCTCACATAACAGCGATCAGCAGCAGCAGCAGCAGCATCAGTTCCCTCAGCATCACTACCACCACCACCACCAACCCCAACAGCTGCCCGAATACGCCGGATTTGACTTTGATCCCCAGCAGGACTGGTCACGCTTCGCCTTCGATGGCCCCGATACCCCTGCCGCCCCTGCCGTCCCTGCCGTCCCTGCTGTCGCGGCACCCGTCCAGCAGCCTCAGCAGCAGCAGCAGCAACCGCTGCAGCATCAGCAGCAGCAAGCCGGCCATGGCGTCGCCGGCCCTCAGCTCGTCCACCATCACCACCACCACCATCATCACCATGTCCAATCCACTCCCTCCGGATTCGCCTCCGACGCCATGGACTGGACCCCCACCCAGGAGCTCGGTACCGACTTTGCCTCCAACTTTGGCAGCGGCTCATTGCAGCAGCCTCAGCTCCAGGACGCGACGGCCACGATCAAGATGGAACCCGATTACGCGCATCACCGGTCGAACGGCGTCTTGGACCCGCCCTCTTCCTCCGCGGCACATCACCAGCACCAGACACAGCACCGGCAGCCTCCCTTGCGCTCGCGGCCTACCGGTACGCCCGCGATGACGGACGGTGCAAGTCCCATGCCCATGCCCATGCCCTTGCACCAGCAGCCCTCGTCGCCGCCGCCGCAGCAGCACCCGCACGTGATACCGTTCGGCACCTTTGATGCTGCCGTCGGGACTGCTTCGCACCCCGCGCCCTTTGGCGCCCACTCATTTGCCGACGCCGGCCCCCACGTCCCCACGGCCGACGACATCTTCGGCAGCCTCGACGGCTTCGTCGCACAGAGCAGCCACGACGAGAGCAGCCACCGCCATCACCACCACCACCACCACATGTCGGCGAGCCCCATGGCCTCATCACCGGCACCCGCAACTCCGGCACCTGCCACCGCCGTCGCCACACCTGGCTTTGCCTCCTGGGCCGCTCCTGTTGAGCAGCACCACCAGCCGCAGACGCATCCTACGAATCCATTCCACCAGCACCTGACCCCTCAACCTTATACCCCGAACCCCTACACGTCCCAGCCCTCCCCGGTGGCGGGCGGACATCCCGGGAGAGTCACCAGCCCCGGCGGCGGTTACTTCCCGCCATGCCTCCCCTCGACCCCGATGCAGCCCTCCATGACGCCGGTGCCCATCTCTGCCGCCGTTGTCGCACCTCCGTCACACATCTCACATGCGCAGCAGCAGCAGCAGCAGCAGCAGCAGCAGCGGCGGCAGCAGCGGCAGCAGCGGCCTGCTGCCGCTGCTGCTGCTGCTGCTGCTGGTGTCAACCAATTCGTTCTCGAACTCGACCCCACCATGACCTCCAGTGCCAAGACCCCGGTCAAGCCTCCCAAGGTGAAGAGTTCCAACTCGGCCCTCTCGGCCAGCAGCAGGATGACCTCGCCCGTCGTCCTCCCACCGACTCTCAAGCAGGAACCGTCCTTGGCGTCGAGTGTTTTGCAAAACATCCAGGTAAGTTTTTCTCTCCCCCCCCCCTCTCTTTCTCTCTCTCCCCTTCCCCCCCCCCTTCCTCTTCCTTCCTTGGTACGAGAGAAGAAGGATAGGACAGAGAAAGAGAAGAAGACGACTGGGAAGAGAGGGGAACGAGAAGAGTTAGAAACCAGAGAGGGGAGAGGAAGACTGACTGTCGTACCCAACCCAAGGAGCCCAAGCTTAAAGAGTCTACCCCTCAGCCTTCCGGCAGCGGCAGCCGCCCTCATGCGCGGGAGCAGGTGTCTGCCGAATCTTGGGAGGAGCACAAGGCCGTCATTCACGACCTGTACCTGGAGCAGCGGAAGCCCCTCAAGGAAGTCATGGCCATCATGGCCGAGAAGCACAACTTCCACGCAACGTATGTTCTCCCAAGCCTGCCACTGCCATGCGGGACCAGCGGCAACCCGATACGCAGAAGACGGCGAATATCTGCTGACATACTAGCCCGCCTTTTCTCGCAGCCCCAAGATGTACAAGACTCGTTTCTCGCAGTGGGGATTCGTCAAGAACAATACCGAGGACGAGGTCAAGAAGCTCCTGTCGATGAAGTTTCAGCGCGACGCGGAAGGCAAGGTGTCGGAGTTTGTGCGCAACGGCAAGATCATCAACCTCGGCACCTACCTCAAGAGGAAGGGTGTGACGGAGTACGACCTGGTCGACTTTGAGCTGCCGGTCGACCTGCCGTCCCACATCCGGTGCCGGACGCCGACGCCGCCGCCCGCACCCGACTACCTCGGCACGCCTGACCTGGTGCGCGCTCAGGAGCTGGTCGTGACCAACATGCGCAAGGCCTTCCTGCAGTGCCGCCAGTGGGAGACGGAGACGAGCAAGGCTGTCGGGTGGACGTCGACCATGGTGTGGGGTGCTCCGTCCAGCGAGATGCTGACTGAGGCCAACTTCTACTTCGAGGCCGGCGACGCCGACTCGGGCGGCCAGTGCCTGATGAACGCCTTCAACCAGCTGGAGATGGACCTGAAGCAGCTGTCGCCGCAGGCCATGATGGAGATGCTGCTGGGCATGGTGCGGCGGGACGCGGGCCTGATGACGGCGCTGTGCAAGTACGTGGCGGCGTTTGCGACGACCAACTACGACCGGTCCCACCCGCTGCGGCAGATCCTGACGTGCCTGTACGAGGTGCAGCAGAAGCACGGGGCCATGATGGTGTCGGAGCTGCTGTGGGGCAGCGCGCCCATGGTGGCCGAGGAGCTCGAGGCCATCTACGGCCGACGGCACCCGTACGCGGCGCGGACGTGGATCGACCTGGCGCTCTTCTACGACCAGCGCGACGGCGAGCGGCTGGAGCGGCTGGCGGCGGAGCTGCGCGAGCAGCACAAGCAGATGGAGCGGCGCAAGGAGAGCAGCGAGCCGAGCGACCTGCTGGCGCTGCGGTACGCCGTCTGCCAGCTCCTGTACGCGGCCAGGCCGACGTCGGACGAGTGCAGGAAGGCGGCCAAGGATCTGGTCAAGTACATGAAGAAGGAGAAGCTGCTGTTCCGGGTGCGCGACTCGCGGCCCAACGTCTTCTGCTACCACTGCGCCGTCAAGAACGACCCGTGGACCAAGCGCTGCCGACGGCGATACGACTCGGTGGTGGAGATGCTGGAGAAGCACGCCGATGTCAAGATCCTGCCGTACTTCGAAGAGGACTTCCACACGGCGGATCACCACGACGAGCCCGAGGCGAGCAGCGCCTGGTCAGCCGTCATGGGACAGCCTGTTCCGACGTCGAGGTGGAGGTTTCTGTGAGCCATCAAGCTCTCTTCCACCGAGCCACCTTGCCTATGTGATATGTGACTTTTTTTTTTTCTTTCTCTTTTTCTCTTCTCTTCTCTTCTTCCAATTCCCTTTGCAACATTTTTTCTTTCTTTTCTTCATAACGTGTACATGGGTGATGGGGTATTAAACTAACGGAGTTGGACTGTTTTGTCTTGGTTTTGTTTGGTCTTTTTTTTTCTTTTCTTTTTTCAGCAGAAAAAAAAGAGAAGATATGGGGGGAGGGGGGAAGGGAATGAATGTGATGATATAAATAATGGGTGGGTCAGAGACAGCCAGCCAGCCCTTGCGACTTTTTGCGTATTTTTTCTTGGTTTTTCTTCTTCTCCATTTCTCTCTCTCTCTCTCCTCTTGATACTCCAAGACATGGGTCTCTTTTTTTTTTTTTTTTTTGATATTCTGGAAGCAATCTACTATTTTGTCTCTGCATTGACTGTTTTCATCCTTGTTTTCTTTTCGGCAGCGGGAAGCGAGGATTACGGCTTCCAAAAGAGAATACCTGGGGTGGTGGAGGGATGGGGATGGGGAGGAGGATCCAGATGTTGATTTGGGAAGCTTTGACAGCTTCTGATGGGTTGTATCATGATATCATTATACCAATATATAATAACGTTTTTTTTTCTTCAATTTCCAGCACCAATACCATGGGATGATGATGGACGACGTACAAAGACTGGATGCACGAGATGATGGTTGAGCACTGATGCTGACAAGGCTGGATACAAGATCAGATGCAGAGACGTGGATATAGAGAAGTAGATATAGAGAACTAGATACGGAGAGCTAAATACAGAGAACTAGATACGGAAAACTACATGTAGGAATAATCATGACGCTGCCTTACAACCCATTCAACGTCCCCCATATATCCTCTTCTCCTCCTTCCACCTCGAGTGTACCGTGCCTCCAATACCCTCTACCATGCCACGGAGACATCCGGAAATCTTGACGTAGTTGGCATCCTTGCTAGACGTGAACCTGACCATGTTCCTGTTATCAGCATCCAAGGCGACGGCTTTGGCATCTGTCTGGCCGGGCACCACGGCGGAATCATATGGCACGACCTAGGCAATAGGGTGATCAGTTTTTATTTTTATTTTCAAATCTTTAGATTTATAGATTTTTTGATTTTTGATTGTGTGTGTGTGTGTGTACTCTGTGTGAAGAAGACAGAAAAAACAAGAAAGAAAACAAGCATGGGGGGGGGGGGGGGGGTTGTTAAAAAAAGGAGGGGAAAAAGAAGAAAGAACCGACAAATACTGACCATAATTTTTGAATCATACGTGGCATCACCACCCTTCATCTTCTTCTCGTAGAAGAAGACTGTAGCAAAGTCACGACCGACGGGACGGTACTGCTCGAGCTGACGTTTCAGCCAGGGAGAATCGCGATGGAGGTTGGCGAGGAGGATGTCGGTGGCCGGCATGACGGCCGAGGCTGCCTTGACCACCATCCTGGCCCGGGAGATACCGTCGGCCCCCCGGTGCGGGGTGCCCACGAAGATGACGCCGTAGGTTGACAGTCTGACGGATCGGTGGTGTACCAGTGCACCTGGCCTGGCGGCGTCGGAATGGATGAGTGCCTTTGTACTGTCGTCAGCGTGGAGGGAGAGAGGGTGGGGGGGGGGAGAGAGAGAAAGAGGAAGAGAAAGAATAGGAAGAGCTTACACTCTTGACAATGATGCCCCCGATGTTATGGGCTATAAAGATGATGGGTCGTTCGGTTGTCTTTTTTTTTATCAAGTGAAAAAAAAGAATGTCATTATCTCGGGTTGGAAAAGAAGAAAGAACGGAAGAAGAAGGGAAGAGAGAGAGAGAGAGAGAGAGAGAGGAGAGGAGGGTGGGAAAAGAAGGAAAGGGCGGGCCTACTCTTTCCAATGTCCGCTTCCTAGACAGGTCGGACACCAGCTGGATGGCATGGTCGTCTATCGTCTGGCTGCTGACGCGGGACTTGTGAGTCGTGTTGGCGTCGTAACCCCATGTCATGATGCGGACGTCGGGGACGTCTCGGGGGAGGAGGTGGCGGAGCCAGTTGACGCCGTTGTCGGCCGTCCAAGTCTTGCTCGAGTGTCCGTTTATACCGTGGACGGCGACGATGCTACGATACGTTTTGTCTCGTGAGAGGGAGTGAGAGAGAGGGAGAAGGGTCGGGGTGACAGACACGGATCAATCAGGGGAGAAAGGGAAAAGCAGTTTGTGTGTGTGTGTGTGCATGTATAAACTTACTCGGCACGTGGGGTGGTACTATATCCCATCGTAGCACAGTCGTAGATTATATCCAGCCCGTGTCTGTGCTGTGTCACGTCGGAGTCCGGGGCCGGCGTCTGTGCGACGGTGGAGGCGTGGAAATCGCCCCGCGTCGTCTGCCCGGCCGCCGACGAGGTGTTGAGACGTCCCCATGGCTTTGGAGCCATGATGAGGATGATCTGATGTGTATTTGTGGATTGTGCAAGTCTTGTATGATCGATTTCGAGGAATGGAAAGGAAGAGGCGATGCTGGTTCCTCATCCTCCCACTGCCGGACGCGGGGCGACTCTTTATATCCCCATGCACCGGCCCCGCGCGAGACCAGAACCGCCGGGTCGCTCACCCGCACGGCCCACCTGCTGACCAGGGCTCCTAACCGCCGCTGCCTAGCCGCCGGCGTCAGGAGCACGGCCTGCCCTGCACGCTCGGCGCATCCACCCTGCCGTATCAGGACCAGGCGGCAATGCACAGAATGTTGGAGGAGCGGGACGCTGAAGGGGTCATCAACCGGATACGCTTCAAAAGGATACCCTCCAGAGGATACCCTGCAAAGGATACCCTGCAAAGAAAAAAAAAAGGAGGCAAGACGCCACGCAGCAGGGAGGGCGGTTGATTTCTAGGCCGCAGAGGCCCAACATCGTATGCAGCGTCAAAGAAAGAGGGTAGCGTAGCATACGGGGCACAGGCGATTCTGTTGACGAAGATGTACATGGTCAGACTATGAATAGTCGCATGTTCTGCCGCGGGTCGTCTCGATGACATCTCCATCTTTTGTTCCTAATTTTCCCATCTCTACTCTCTTCCCCGTAGCGTGGCGAGTATCGATTGACGGCATGATATAGCAGAGCAATACCACAGCCCCACAAAGAACCCCTCGAAGGGAGTCCCTCCAGAAACCCTCGACGCAACAACATCATCCCGGAGACCAGAAAACACGACCGACAAACCAACCACGATGCGCCTCACCTCCCGTCCCACCACGGCGCGTCTCCTACGTCCCACTTGTAGCCAACAGCAGCTTCGTACCTTTCTATCCGACCGAATCATCCAAGGTACGTATGTCTCTCCTCTCTCTCTCTCTCACACACACACAATCTCTCTCTCACTCTCTCTCACGCACGCTCCCTCACACACTCTCTCACCCTCCCTGTCCTGTCCTGTCCTGTCCTGCCAAACAGGACACACACGCGCGCACTCCCTCACACACACTCTCACACACTCTCTCACCCTCCCTGTCATGTCCTGTCCTGTCATGTCCCGTCAAACAGGACNCACTCCCTCACACACACTCTCACACACTCTCTCACCCTCCCTGTCATGTCCTGTCCTGTCATGTCCCGTCAAACAGGACACACACACACACACACACACAGAGAGAGAGATATACGCACACGCACACGATCCCAGCTGACGCGACATCCTTCTCTCCCGGACAGAAAATGACGTGGTCCTGCTCAAGCAGCGAGGAGATCGAAGTCCGAAATGGCGCCTCACGCCGCCGCTCAGACTGGGGAGAGATAAGACGGTCAAGCTGCCGTACGGGGCCACCGTGGCCCACGAGGACCTCGTGGGCAGGAGGCTGATGGACAGCGTCGTCGACTCCACGGGTCGTCGGGTCGTCATCTACGAGGCTAGCATGGCCAATCACATCACCCACAGCGAACGGAAATGTGCACCCGTACGTCTCTTCCTCTCCCTCACGCCTCGCTACGCTCGCCACTCGAGCCTCGGGCTTTGCTCCTCGCCGCGTCGGCTTCGAGATCCGGGGGGTGACCGGACCCCCTAAGGGGATACTCAACACCCCCAGGGCCCAAGTGCGAGCGAAGCGAGAATCCGAAGAGAGAGAGAGAGAGAGAGAGAGAGAGAGAGAGAGAGAGAGAGAGAGAGAGAGACTGACGTGTTCCCAGATCTACCCCCACGACGCAAACACCATCGTCTCGATGATGGACATACACGTAGAACGACCTGGCGAGACGGAAGCCGACGACGACGGCGAAGCGTTTGAAGTCTTCGAGGCCGGCACCGGCGCCGGCAGTCTGACCCTGCACATCGCGCGGGCCCTGCACGCGGCCAACCCCCCGCTCAGCCCGGCGCTGCGGTCGGCGCTGTCGACGGCGCCGATCCGGCCGTCGTCCGACGCCGCCGACGACGCACCGGACGCGCCCGGCGGGAGGACGCTGGACCTGTCCCGTCTCCAGCTCCCCGAGGACCTGTCGGCCGAGGCGGCGCGGTACGTGTCCGCCCGCCGCGCCGTGCTGCACACCCTCGACCGCAAGGCCGCGCACTCCCTCCTGGCCCACGCCACGGTCCGCCGCTTCAGGAGGGGCATGTACCTCCCCAACGTCGACTTCCACGCCGGCGCCTCGGTGGAGGCGTACCTGACCTCCCGGCTGGACCGGCGCGGCGGCCGACCCTTCCTCTCGCGCGCCGTGCTCGACCTCCCCGCCCCGGAGGACCACGCCGGCGTCCTGCTGCGGGCCATGCGACCCAACGCCGTGCTCGTGGCCTTCAGCCCGTCCGTCAGCCAGATCGCCGCGCTGGCCGCCTGGTCCGCCAGGGGCCGTCACCCGCTCCGCCTCGACCGCGTCGCCGAGCTGCCCACCTCGTCGTCCGCCGAGTACGGCGTCCAGGAGTCCGACGGCGGCCGCGCCTGGAACATCAGCACCGTCGTGCCCAAGGAGGGGGGGGCCGGCGGCGAGGTGGTGCAGATCATGAGGCCGCGTGTCGGTGATAGGATCGCCGGTGGAGGCTTCGTCGCCGTCCTGCGTAGGATTCCTGATGCTGATAATGACGAGGGCAAGGGCATCGATCAAGTTGACGAGAGGGGGTGATGGGGTTTTTTTTTTTTTTTTTTTTTCTCCTGCTGTCTCTTGTATTATACTTTATTATACTACTCTCTGTACATATCTGTACTCTGCGTGTGTAGAAGATTGACATGCATCCCACTCCACATCTACTCTGCAACGATACCTGCTCTTCGCACTCGCCTGTGCCGGCCGCCAAGGACGTGCGCGCACCCCCGTCGGTCGATGTAGACGTCTTCCTTGACCGTACGGCTGCCCCGTGGGGATGACGGTTTTGGAGACGGATGTTCGGTTCTAGAGGAACCCAGAACCTGTAGCCTCGATCCCAGAGTATACGGCCTACGAGCACCGAGACGTCTCTCTGCAAGACCGATTCGTGCGATGAGGACGGTGTCTTGCCCGGTACCCGGTTATGAACAAGAAATACGTCGTGTGCGCGTCGTGCGTACCGTAATATCGTCACCAACGGAGCCATCTCAGCACAAGCACAGACTTGCTCGACCCGATAACGCTCTGCTCCATCTGTTTAGACTTTTACTTCTTCTTTGACTCTTTTTTGACTATTTACTGTGCATTGTTGCATTTCACTTATTATTATTATTATTATTATATATATATATATATATATATATATATATATATATATATATTGGTTCATAATCTATCTGTTCACCCTTTACTTATGCACACTTCACTCAAGTCATGTAATACTCCATGCTTCAACTTTTATCCGTACCATTAAATATTCCACTGATATTTTATCACTAGAAGAAAAGGGGGTATCTCGTTTGTTATACTAACCCACATGCCAATAAAAAAGTCGTCATACAAAAAAAAGGCAAAAAGAAAAGGCAAAAAAATACAAAGTCATAAGAACAAGACGTCGTTCCATCATCATGCCCCCTAAAAGGAGAGAGAAGAAGAAGAAGAAAAAAGGTGGCCAGCCACGGAAAGAAAAACAGAAAAGGAAGAAAAAGAAGACAATTCCCGAACAAGATTCAAGAAAATGACTTGGAGAAAAAAAAAATAAAAGAGAATAGAAAATAAAAGAAAACAAAAAAAACTGGCGTGAGCCTATTTATTTCATATCATCATCATGCCATAACATGCAAAAAAAAAAGAAGAAAAAAATGTACCCTTCTGCTGTGAGGGTATTGTTGGACTTGGGATGTTCTTGTTGTGAGAAGAATGGTATGCCAGGTCATGTCTCCAGGCTTGCGCCCTTGTTTTCTTCTTCCGATCTTGTAACCGAGATTTCCATAAGAGAAGAGGTAGAAGAAAAAGTATCCATGCTCTTGGGGGGGGGGAGGAAGATGTGGAAAAGAGTCTTGTCGTGCTCTCCCATGAATAGAGACGAACAGAGAGAGAGAGAGAGAGAGAGTAGGTTAATTGTAGAAGAATAAAGGGAACGGGGAATGATACAGAATAGAGTGAGAGGATCAGGAGGGGGGTTATAGAGGGGAAAAAAAAAAAAAAAAAAAGATGAGGGGATTCAATAAAAAGGAGAGCTCCAGATCAGGCACTAGACACACGATCAGGTGCTCGACCGTAGCATACCGTGAGCTTGAGGCTGGTACCCAGCTCATGGCATTCGCGCAGGAACCGGCCGTCATCCCACATAGACTCCATCACGTTGCCGTCGGAGTCGGCGATGGCGGCTGCACTCTCGTAGCACCGGGTGTACCACCACCGGCCGACCCGGGACACCATCTTGGTAATGCTCTCGTCGGCCGCGGAGCTGTCGTCGCTCATCATCTCCGACAGGCTGGGCTTCTTCTTGCCGTCACCCTCGGCCCCGTGACCCTCGGCCCCGTGCTGACGGCCGTTCACCGGCTTCGGAGTGGCGACGGGGACGCCCACCCTGGCGGCCTTGACGTCGTAGAAGCCCGCTCGCCCGATGAGACGCACGATCAGGTCGGCCGTCGAGGCGAGGTTGACGTCCGCGTTGACCGCGTGTATGCTCTCCTTGAGGCGCCGCACCGCCCGGCGACCCCGGTGACCCATGTTGTTCAGGTCGACGTCCAGGATCGAGAGCTCGAGGTAGCCTCCCGGCTTGAGGACGCGGCGTGCCTCGCTGAGGATGTTGCGGTAGTGCGAGTCGGGGGCCGCCACGGCGAAGCGGTACACCACGCACGTGAAGCTCCGCGCTGCAAACGGGAACTTGTCCAGGTGCGACCTGTACTGGATCTGGTGGTGGTTGGCCGGCGTCAGCGGGAAGCTGGGCGCCGACTTCGTCGTCGGCTCGGGTCCCGTCGGCAGCGGTGCGCGCGGGGACAGGTTGTAGAACGTGGCCGCCGGGTACGTCTCCGCCGCGTAGAAGGACCAGTCGTCGTTGCCCAAGCCGTCGATGACCAGGACCGAGTGCCGGTCCGCTGCCTTCCCAGGCGCTTCTTCGCCGGCCAGGTCGTGCCGCACGTCGCTGAAGAGCACCTGCCCGAACGTGAGCCACTTGCTGACTGTCATGGAGCCGACGCGCAGGTTGACCTGCGACAGCGGGGAGGAGCCGTCCTCTGACGAGGACGAGCTGCAGCAGCTGGAGCTGGAGGCCGAGCCCCGCTCACGGATGGGCGAGAGGCTCCTGCGTGCCGCGGCGGGAAGGGGGCCGAGGGGGCCGTCATCGACAGGCTCCCCCCCCTCCCGCAGGTCATCCTGGGGGCTGCCCTGGACGTCGCCGAACCCTGAAGACGTGGGGCTCGGGTGAACCTGGAAGGCGTTGCGGAGTCGCTCCGTGAAGTCTGCGCTGTAGCAGCTCGAGGTCGTCGGGTTTGACAGGAGCGACGTGACGCGGTCGGTCGCAAGCGTCGGCGACTCCATCGGCTCCTCCCTGACGAGCCTGGATTGGTACGTCTCGAGGTGGAAGGGGATGCCCCTGGACGAGGTCGCAGACGGTGGCTCCTTGGCCGCACTCTCAAGCAGGTCGTCGTACTCGTCCCACACCTCATCCTCGGCCGGGGGGTCTCCGGGTCCCGGGATGACGGCGGGAACCAAGCTGTCAAAGGGGTACCGGACCGAGCCGGAGCTGCTGGTACCGACAGTCGCATTCGAGTTCTTCCTCGGAGAGAAGCGGAGGAACTCCTCGTTTCCAGACCTCTCCGGGGGCGTGCTCTTTGCCGTCAAGGCCGGCGTGTTCGACACCGAGCCTCCGCCGCCTACATCCGCCGGGTCGTTCGACGGGTTAGGCCCCTTTCCGATGGGCTGGGTATCGGTGTGGTCCGCAGGCTGAGACGGGGGTTGGATGCTATCGCGGAAAGGACGCGAGAAGCTCCTCTTCGGCTCTGGGTCTTGCGGCGGCTGCGGCTGCGGCTGCGGCGGCTGTCGTTGGCTGACAACCTTGGGGATCCTGCCGACATGCTGCAGCCTGCTGGGCCGACCGGAGCTCATCGTCGTCTCACCGGAGGAAGGGGCCGCCACCTCTGGCTGGGTGTTGATGCTCAGGGGAGCCGGGCGCATCTCAGCGGGCTGCAGATCGGCCGGTTCCGGGTAGACCTCTGCGCTGCGGAGGACGCTGTGAATGCTGTCCGTCGCTTCGGGAGCGAGGTCCTCGGGTTCCGACGAGTCCATCATGGTGTAGAACGCCACCGGCTTCTTCTCGACAGGCTGAGCCGGAACGGCGGCAGCGCTGACAGGAAGAGACGCCTTGCCTTCCTGCTTGGCGGCGGACTGCTGCTTGTGCGACTTGCCAAAGATATTCCACTTGCGTGGTGATCGCTCCCTCTTGGTCAGCTTCTTGGGCACGGGGTGCGGCGGCCGCTGCTGCCGCTGCTGCCGCTGCTGCTGCTCGGCCGAGCTGCGTCCGCGGGAGAGCTCCTTCTGCAGCTCCAGGTGCGACTCCTCAGACATGATGCTCGTGTCGAAGCTCGTCATGGGGGACGGCGCCGCGACGCCGTCCGTCTTGATGGGCTGGGGCACGCGCACGGTGTCCCCGCCGCGCAGTGCCTTTCCGTGGTGGATGGACCGTCTGAGAGCAAGGGTCGACTTCATCATCGGTCTCTCCGAGTCGCTGCTCTCCGACGGACGGCGGGAGCTGGCCCCCGACTGAGGGATGACGGGTGAGGGCCACATGGTGGACCTGGCTGCCTCGGTGCTCGGCCTCGGCAGGGACGAGAGGCTCTGCTCGCTCTCCGTGCGGGAGAGCTCCAGGCTTGGACGGCTGTCGACCACGCCGCCGCCAGCGATGACGACGGGATTCTTGCGGTCCGAGAAGAAGGAGTCGTCGCTCGTGATGCTCTCCTGCGACACGTGGCTGTTGTCCGGGACGGCCCGGGTCAGGTTGAGGTTACCGCTGCGCCTACGCACCGCGCCGAGACGACCGTACCCCTCGTGGCCGGTCCCCGCGGCCGGGCCCTTGCGAGGAGGTCTCTTCTCCCTGGCTTCCTTCTTCGTCGCCTTGGGCGGGTTGTCCTCCAGGCCGGACTTCTTACGACCGAAGAAGGGGAAGCGGAAGGATGAGACGTTCGGACTTGGGGTGCGTGACGAGTGAGCAGAAGAGGTGGGCTCGGGGATCCCGAGCGGCTTCGGTCGGCCTCCTGTGCGGGTGGAGATGACCGTCTCCCTGGTCTGGGGGATCTGAGATGCCGAGGTCATCTTCCGCTCGTGTACCGGCCTGTCGTTGGACTCGCTCCTCCGCTCGGTGGGGAGCGAGGACGCCGAGAGGTTGCTGTGGACGACGGGGTTGGGGGCAATGAGCTGAGAGTTGATGTTGGGTGTGCCCTCCCGGCTGGGACGCGCCGGTGCGGCTGTGAGCATGCCCGGTGGCGCCGTATTGTTTCTCGCGAGGATGCGGCTGTCGGTGGACGAGGCGCCCGCCGAGTCCGAGCGGGACTTGCCGAGCCTCGCATTCATCGACCTGGTGCTGTCGTCGTCACCGCCGAGGATGTTTTGGGATGACGTGCGGGGTGGCGGGCTGGGGGGTGGTGCCGCCAGGCGTCTCGGCTTCCTGTTGCGGTCTCCATCCTTGACCGTCGAGTTGGACGACGACGAGTTGAGCGACTCGCGAACAGGGGCCAGGCCGTAGGGGTCAGCGGAGACGGCGTCGGCCTCTGTGGGGGTGCTCCCCGCTCTCCTCCGGACCGTCGGCGGCCTCATCGATGTGGGTGTGGGCTGTCTGACCTTGGGGGCGCTGAATTTGGCGCTGAAGGTCTGGCTGGGAGACTGGGAGGACATCGATGTCGGCGTGGTGTCGCGGCTGTAGGGGCTGGGGCCCGGAGAGCCGGAAAACTTGGTCGAGGGGGATGCGCTGAGCTGACTGCTGCTTCTAGAGAAGGGGATGCTGACGCTGGCGGGGGTTGGGGGTGGAAGATCGTGAGTAGACAGCTTGTGGGGGATGCCAGAGCCTCGTTCGTGACTTGGCTCCCTAGACTGCTGCTGCTGCTGCTGCTGCTGCTGCTGCTGCTGCTGCTGCTGCGAGAAGTTTCTATATCGGTCAAGCTCGGGGTAGATGACGGGAGACCTGGACAGGTCCGGGGGCTGCTGCGAAGCCGCCCACAGCTGGGCATCCAAGGTGGCGCGAGATTCCAAGTAGGAAGGGTCAATGGCCGGCACCGTTGGGGGGGGAGAAGAAGATGCGGCATCCCTCGCGGCAGCCGCAGTATCGGCTGAAGCGGTCGACCTCTTTCGGTGCAGGGCACCTCGTCCTCCGTGACGGCCGTCGCCCTCGGACGACTTGCTAGACCTCGATGCCACCGGGCTACCCTGGGCATGTGAGTCGTAGCGCACGGAGTCCAGAGCTGCCGTGCCCGTATGGCGATCCAGTGTAGGCCGGCGGGCAGCCTGAGGTCGTCCTCCCTGGCGAGGCGTCGTGGTGGGTTGGGGTACGCGGCTCGGCAGCCTGCTCTGGGTTGAAGCTATCCTCGGAACAGCGTCCATTCCGACGGTCGAACCCTTCCTGGTCGTCACGCGAGAGCTGCTGCTGGATGACGAGGATCCGGCTGCACCGGGCTGCCTCATGCGTGTCCCATCGGCTGGCCTATTATGCAGTCCGTATCCCGATCGGAGGGATTCCATTCTTGTCCAGCCTGTTTCTTGATCCTGACTGGCCCTATCATACCTCGTTCCAGTTCACCTGTTCATCGTCTAGCTTGTAGGAAGGGGGTTGCTGAAATGAGGAAAGGAAGAATGGCTTTGAGCAGCCTATCCAGTCTCTCGAATTAGTTTCTTGGCAGCCAACGTAAACCTGTCCAACGCGGATCGACATACCTTTTTTTTTTTCCCCCGTGCCTCGTAATGCGCCAGAAATAGTAGAGCATATACTTCCAGCATATACTTCCAAGCAATTGCCAACTGGTAACTGAAACACAAGGGCAGGGTCAAGTAGTAACCTCGAAATGGTGTAAGTGGTGGAGAGAGAAGCCTTGATGGGAACAAAGAGGAGAGAATAGAAGTGTCGATACGTGAGAAGATATCCCAAAAACAGTATTGCCTCCAAACTCGCGAATACGGAGTCGATTGGTGTGGTATCCAAGGGGAG